GTTGCATTTTTATGAGTAATGTACTCGGCGTTTCCTTTAGACGATGATAGTTCCGACAATGATAGTAAGTTAAAGTAACTGAAGTAAATCATACGTTCGGCAAACTTTGAGCCAGGGTGACCGCAATTATGTCCATTAATTTAGGACTAGGATTTAAGTCTGATTTAGGACCCACTTAATTAATCACAACCCGCTTACACTTTATATGTCGCCGTCATGTTGGGTAAAATCCCATCGGTTCGTGGTTCATGATAAATCCTTGTAGGGCATTTCATGAGCACCCATCATAGATCCACAGATAGAGTGGGTAATTTATAGATTTTCCCAGCTCGTTTAAGCTTCATAGAATACGGCAATTATTGGGTCACGTCCCCCCGTCAAATGAAGTCTGCATGGTCGGGAAAGACACCTACTTCCTCGGGGAAATTCCCGAGAAGATTTGCTCGCGAAAAGGCTTGCGAATAATTTCCACATCACCATTCATTAATGCGTCATTTTGTCGCATATCATTAAATGTTAAATTCAATGTGGTACTTGAAATAATTTTGAATTACGTCTATAAATAATTAGTCGCATTATTGTTAATATGAACTTTATTCAGCGTGTTGGCAACTCTGCTATGAGGTCACTCTTACTTCCCTTTAACATTCATCAATCACTGTCACTCAAACATGCACACATACTCGCTCACTCACCGACGCAGACAAAGAGACACTGAAACCTTCATTAATAGGATTTGCTGCTGTCTTAGTTGCAGGCTTACGTATTTGTTTGCCGCAATATTGTTAGTCGTGATGCGTGACTTGTACATGATTCGTATTTACATACTTTTCCTTCTGTTTCGACATTGGTTCAAGTAATTCCTTGCGGAATGCCAACGGTCGTTTCCCTTACTTTATCATTTCACGAGATGATGGTAGCTCAAGAGGATCATTGCGGATCGCTACCAACGTCTCCCTCTTCTATTTTCCTCTCTTAACTTTGTGAACACAAAACACAAAAAGAAAAAAGACGAAAATAACGAAAATTCAACTTTAAAAACTGCAAATTATGAAACAAAAAATCGGCTTGTAGCTTTTAACACCTTCTTTTCTCTGTCGTTTTCCATCTATCACTATCTGGCCCATTATGTGCTATTCTGGTTCCCGATATCTGAAACGGCACCGGTGACCGTTTCTGCTGCAGAAACGGTCACCTTCGGAAGCCATTGGAAAACGTCATCGGAGGATCGCCGACACCAGGACGCCCCGAGATCCAGCGACGACAGGGCTGGCCAGTAGAGGTTCGCCGTCCCATGATGCTGTGGACGGGCCTGCCTGGACGCCGCAGACCCATTCAAACTCCAGGAGCTCATTAATGCAGGTATCAGCCGCCCTACGATGTTGAAGAGGACGCTTCCTGCCGGACGCCCGTAGATCCTGACGAAGATTACGAGGACGTCTGTACGAGTGTGCAGCCGAGAAGGACCTGGACGGAGATCTGCGAGACGTGCATAGGGCGAATAAGCCGCCGAGTTGGACCTGTGCGCGGAAGACGAGGATGTCTGGACGAGGACCGTGCGAGGCCAGTCGAGGACGTGAGGATGTGGAGGACGAACGAATTCCCAGGGACCAGAGCGAGGATGACGACACAGAACGAGCAGCCACGGAGATGCACCAAGGATACCGCACCCGAGACCGAGGACGAGCAAATTGGAACCAGCCAGGTTGGGTCACCCTTGAGGAAAGTCTAGATCGCCTCGAGGACGAGCCGTGAGTAGGTGGCCGAGCAATATACAATATACTGTATACAGACCACGTGGATGCTTGTACCAGCAGCGTTGCCGCCCACGCTAGCTACCTACCGGCTTGGACGCTACCTAGCCTCGTTCCCCACGCCGCCCAGCCGCGTGGCTTGGAGGAATGCTACCTACCCTCGTTCCCCAAGCCAACGCTCGGATATTTAAGGCCTGCAGATGATCCCTGAAACCGGGCCATAGCCGAAGGCCCGGGCGAAGCTAGACTTCGCAAAACTCAAATTCATCCCTGAAAACAGAGTGTTCTGTGCCGAGGTGGGTCACGCCTGACCCCGCGGCCAGGTTGCCGTTTGGTAGGGCTTGCCGTCTGACCTAGGCGCCCTCGCCTTAACCCAAGCATTGTCATCTTGTGTTTCAACTCTGTGTGCTAGCTCTATCAATAAAAGGGTTTTTAGCCACTAAGCTTTTACTACTTCCCTGTCACCAATGTAGAGAGGTTTCCCTTACAATGATGATGAAGGGGCAACCCCTTAAAAAAATGTTCATTGCTGGTCCTGAAATAAGTGGGGCAAAGAAACGGTCTACCCCTCAGGGTTCCCATAAGGGGTAAGCAATTAACCCAGGGGAGAGTGTCCACATGGCTCCTGGAACGCGTCCAGGACTGGTACAAAGTCAGCCTTTTATCCATTCAGAAGAGGGGAATGAAGAAGAGAAGGAAACGGAAAGTGAGAGAAGAAAAGACCCTGCAAAATTAGTTGAGGAGAGGACTGAGATCCAAGGTAGGGGTGATCCCCTACCTTGGAACTCAGTCTCCTCCTAAGCCTCACCCCACGACAACAACGAGCATGGAATGAGAGGATGTTTTATGTGTAAAATTTACATTTAAAATTACTAAACAGGAAGTATCCATCTTCCTACATAGCTGTGAAGACCGTACCTTGAACAATCTATACCAGAGACCAAATGCACTTTCTATGAAATTTACTGCTCAAATATAATAGAACATGAATCCTCTCTCCTTTTCACTCCCACCCCTCTCTCTTATTTAGAAAATTTTATAAAAGGTGAAATGTGAGAAATCTTCCTTTATTTGTAGGAAACTTCATGGTATGCCGTGGCCCCTCCGGAAAACCAGGAAAACATATAAACCCTCCCGAATACTTAATTCGTTTAGAGCGACACGAAAAGTTTCTCTCGGTTCTTCCGCCACAATCAACTGGCAGAGGAGGGAATTAGTGGCTCTTCATGATCATATTTTAGAACATTTGATATTTTGATTACTAGTTTTACCTAGGAGGCTTTTTCACGTTATGAGAAATACAGACATACATTGCTTAAGAAATGGTGTAACACGAACTTTGAATAAAATATACCTATAAGGTGGCACCCGTTGTCACAGCGGAAACGACGAGAGGCGGGGTAATAAATAATCGGTGGCATTCGCTGGGTCATTACACTACCATATTGATTGCGAACCTCTTTAAGGAAATAAAGACAGGACATTTCTATTATGCTATATACAAATGGATACATAATTCGGTCAGTACTTCCTTTTTGTGGTGCTCTGGTAGTGTTTTCGTAAAATTGTATTGGTTTTCATTCTCGCTAAGAGCTCTTACCTTTGTAATGCCTTTTATATACATTGCCCATAGTAACGGGATATATTTTTTTTCTCGGATTTATATGAGCATCTTTAATTTACTTTATTCGCTTTATAAGATTTCTCTTAAAATTCATGACGTCCAATTGCTACCAAAGCCATATTACATGCTCAAACTCGCTATTTACGATGTACAGAATAATAAGAGATTAAATGAGAAACCGTGTGTTTCAGAGAAAATATAGCAGGAATAGTCGGCGTAATTAATAGACAAATACAATATGAATGTACAATTTTTCTATAATTATCATCAGAGTCATCATTGTCTTTAATTGTCATTGCTATTAACATTGCCATTATTATTATCCTTTATTATTATTATTATTGTTGCTGTATTATCATTTACCATACTTGCATGCTGTCCTGTCTGCCCTCTGGCAGACTGGTGCCTTTCCCCCTGACTTGTTGAGGGGTGTGGTCATTCCTCTCTGGAAGGGGAAAAGGGATCAGTGGGACTGCAGTAATCACCGAGCCATTACACTACTCAGTATATCAGGCAATGTACTCGCGCACATCCTACTGAGACGTATCAGAGAACACTTGCTGAGACACCAGAGGCAGGTGCAATCTGGATTCACTCCTGGTAAGTCCACAATGGACCGTATCCTGGCGCTTCGAGTCATTGTAGAGCACCGTCGTGAGTTCGGCCGTGGGCTGCTTGCATCGACCTCAAGAAGGAGTTTGATACCATGCATCGCTAATCACTCTGGGAGATCTGAGACTAAGAGGAATTCTTATAAGAATTATTGGATTAATAGCAAACTTGTATACCGCTACAGAAAGTGCTGTAAAGTGTGATGGGGGCCTATCGAGCTTCTTCCCTGTTAGTTCAGATGTGAGGCAAGCTGTGTTTTTGCACCAACACTTTTCAACACTTGCTTGGACTAGAACTACTGTCCAAATTAATTGTAGAGCAACTCTGGGCAATATCAAGGTAAGAGACCTTGGCTGATGATGTTGCTATTCTATCTGAAACTCTGGAAACCCTAGTGGCGGCTCTTGATGCATTTACCAATAAAGCAAAGCCCCTGGGGCCTGGTCTTATGGACCAAGACCAAGATCCAGGATTTTGGTCGAGGTCACAGAGAGCTTTATATACCTCGGTAGTGCAGTTCATGACTCCGGGTTGTCAAACCAGGAAGTCGGTAGATGGACTGGCCTGGCAGCAAGGGCCATGAAATCTCTCGACAAGAGTATTTGGAGATGCCGGTACCTGTGCAGAAGGACCAAGCTACGTGTCAAGGCCCTAATGCTGCCAGTTTTACTATATGGTAGTGAAACTTAGACGCTATCTTGTGCTTTGGAATCTCGTCTTGATGCCTTTTGTAACAGATCCTTGCGCCGAATCATGGGGTACAGTTGGCGGGACCATGTGTCCGACCAACGGTTGCACCGTTGCACTTTTATACTGAGAGCCGAGGAAAGGGAGCCCGCTTATGCACAGTCACTTGGTACTTTATCGTACCGGCTATAAATAATCGCCTAGTCCCAAGTCCCCCTTTAGTTCATCATCATCGCGAAATAAGTTTTAAGGCTAGTGCCTCTACCCTCCGCTTGCAGTGCAAAACCTCCACCACATCAGACCGGCAGGCGGAGCTGACTCAAGAGTGACGTCACGACCTAACTTGGCTCCGGGAAGTAAACAAACGTCGCTCGTCGCTCGCCCAGTGCATGGTTGTACGACGAAAGGGAATGCTACCTTTCACTTTGTGCTTAATTTAGTTGTTTCTCCCACTGCCAGTGCTTAATTTGTTTAGTAAGTATCGATAATAGTCCACTGATACTAAATTCGACGGGTCTTAAAATATATCTTGAAATTTAACACAGCTGGAAAAAAGTATGGCAGCTTATTGACTTATGATTGACAGTACATGTTACGTTTTGATTAGCCATCTTTAAAACGATAAAATATATAAGCATGTGATAGAGCGATTAAAGCTAAGGGTATAGGTCCAGTTCCATTCAGCCGTCTTTTATATAGAAAATAATATATGCAAACGATAGAGCAAATAAATCTAAGAAACTTATCTTCTATGAACTTCCCTCACAACTCAAATATAAGTTATTAGACCCACAATTGTCATGATCGGTCATGTAAAGGTATTTTGAATAATTACTCAGAAGCACAAGCTACCACTGTCATGTTGGATTAAACTGATCAGGGGAGGTTTTACTTACAACCTTAAAATAGGCTATATATTCCATAAATCATTACATGCTTATTTTAGGTTGCATGTATCAAGGTTACTCTATTATTAAAACCACTTTTGGGGAATTTCCACACAGTGGGGCACAGTACACATCTTGTATACGAAAAATAGAGGAAGATATGCATAAGCATATATAGATTATGCTCAAAAGATTAGAATTTTAAAATGTTTTCTTTATATTTCATGTAAAGACATTTATATAGACTAGGTAGTTCTTTATTGTATGGATGCACCCACCAAAGACTAACTAATGAACTTCAAGTCACAAACTTTATTAAACAATCTAAATTGCTGTGACTTGATATGCCCATATGGGAGGGTTGATTGTGGGTTCTGCTCCCTCACAGAACCCACTGCAAAATAGAGCTGAAGCTCGGGAGGGCAGAGTGGACTTAAACTGTGAGCAGTGCTTTTTGCTATCTTTTCTTGATACTTTCCCTTTATTTCTGGGTTTACCATTCATGTCTGCAGATTACTTTTGTACTGACAGCTGCATCTTTTTGTCTTTGACAAGAAAATCTTAGAATTTTTAGCTTAGTGTATACATACTAAAAAGATTAACCAACTATTTATTTATTTAATTACATGAAAAATATTTGAACACAGTTTGTCTTGTAGTCTATGTATATTTTTTGGCTCACTTGGAAAATAATTTGTTTGTAGGTCAAGAGATAAAATAGTTATTGTCTCCTTGGTAAATTTGTAATGTACTTATTGATCTGCCTGGCTGTAAGTAAAGTTAATGAAACAAAATTTCATTGGGCATTACTTGTTGACCATAGCAGGGTAAGAACCTATCTTGATTCTCCAATCAACACCTTTTTTTACTCTGCTATGGTCAGCTGGTCCCCAGAAACATGTTGCCATTATATCAGAGCAGCATATTTTAACCTTTAGTATTATCATGGAAAGGTCAATATCATGTTGCTGAATAAGTTCATGTATATTTTTCTTTTTCTTTGCTTTATTAATTTCTGTTTTCCTACTTAAGGCTGTTATTTAGACATATTTAGGTATTTTATAGGGAATGGAGGATAATAGAACATATCTGCCACCTGAATGGAACAATGAGGAAAGGATGAGAGTGCTGATGGGCCCCATGCCCCAGACACAGGATGTTGTTGCACGAAATGCTCGTCTCACATTTTGGACTGCTGCTATACATCTGTGGTGCAAAAGGACAAACAAGCTTGTCTTTACACTTCAGGTTAGTTAATTATTTTAAATATTTCTTTTCATTTAATTGTGCTGTGCTTATTAAATTACATGCACACACACACACACGCATATATACATACATGCATATAGAGCTGTATATATACATATATGTATCTATATCTCTCTGTATATATACATATTATATCTAAATGTATATATATATATATATATATATGTATGTATATATATATGTATATGTATGTATATCTATATGTATGTATATATATATATATATATATATATATATATATATATATATATATATATATATATGTATGTATGTATATCTATATGTATGTATATATATATATTATATGTATATATATAGGATAATTTTTTATATATGTGTATGTATATGTATATATGTGTATATATATGTATGTATATGCAAATATATGTATGTGTATAAATTTATAACAATATATGCATTCATATATGTATGTGTATATAGATATCATCATCATTTGGGAGCTAATGCCAGTGGGGGTGCATAGTCGCATCCACCCTTTGCTTCCACTTATGAGGGTCCATCATGGCAAGCCACCAAGCAGGGGCCCAGGACATCTCTAGCTCCTAACAACAGGTTTGATCAATCTGCAAGCAGCCCATGTCCGAACTCACGACGGTGCTCTACAATGACTCGAAGTGCCAGGATATGGTCTATTGTGGACTTACCAGGAGTGAATCCAGATTGCTCCTGCCTCTGGTGCCTCAGCAAGTGTTTTCTGATATGTCTCAGTAGGATGTGAGCGAGTACCTTACTGCAGTCCCACTGATCCCCTTTCCCCTTCCAAAGAGGAATGACCACACCCCTAAGCAGGTCAGGGGGAATGGTACTAGACTGCCAGATGGCAGACAGGATAGCCTGCAAGCCCCTTGTCATAGGTTCTCCACCAGCCTTTAACAGTTCAGCTGGGATGCCACAAACTCCTGTTGCTTTACCACTCTTCAGCTTGGAGATCACCCTCCTGACTTCAGTCAGGAAGGTTGGATCCTTGCTGAAATACTCAGCCCAACGCACACGCACCCCATCAAGATCTGAGATTATCTGGCCACTTGCTGAGCAGACTGCAGTCATCTGTGAGGAGGGCTTGGAGCTTTCTCAGGGCTTGGTAGACAGGATGAAGGTCATTTACTAGCAAATGGGTTTTGACCTCCTCTGCAAGATTCCTGATAAACTGTTCCTCATCCCATCTCAATAGTGACCTAGTCTTGCGCACCAGCGAACGGTACAAGTTGCGATCCTCACAACAATCGAGCCGCACAAGCATCTGTGGCTTCCTGTGTGTTGCTGTTCGGTGTTCACCAATCAATTCTTGGGCTGCATCAAGCGTTTCACGCTTGATGGTGTCCCACAGAGGAACAGGGCCCGTCAGTCCCTTGAGTGCTGTGAAACGACCAGAGATAGCCATGGCAAACCCCTGGGCACATCACTCCCTCAACTGCCACATAGAAGCACCCGTATATATATGTATATAGAGGATAGAGATGTGATATATGAGGGCGGATGTATAGAGAGGAGATATAGTATATAGATGTATATATAGGATATATATTTATAGAGATGTATATATAGTATATATATTATGTATATATAGTGGTATATATGTAATAGAGGGGGAGAGAGAGATATATATTAGAGATATGATATATAGAGATGTATATGGAGATATACAGCATTGTATATGGGAACACACTATGCACAGACACAATACACATACACAGACACATACAAAGACACAGAGCAGACGCCAGACGAGACCATACACAGGACACATACAAGACACAGACAGACACAGACACAGACACAGACAACACAGACAGCACACACACACAACCATAGAGATGGAGAGAGAGAAGAGAGAGAGAGAGATGAGATACTAGCGAGAGCAGACCTAGATAGGAGCGAGAGAGAGACAGAGACAGACATACATGACAGACAGACAGACAGGACAGACAGACCGAGAGAGAGACAGGTAGAGACAGACAGTACACAGGCACAGAAACAGATCACAGACACAGACAGAGGACAGTGACTACAGAGACAGAGGACTAGATACAGGAACAGAGAATAGACAGAGAAGAGACTAGAGACCAGAGACAGACAGAGAGAGAGACCCAGAGAGAGAGACAGAGAGAGAGATAGAGAGATAATAGAGAGAGAGAGAGAGAGAGAGAGGAAGATGAGTACAGAGAGAGAGGATAAAGACACACACAGATAGAGAGGAAGCCAGAGAGAGAGAGAGAAGATAGAGAGATGAGAGAGAGAGAGAGAGAGAGAGAGTAGAGAGACAAGAGACAGAGAGACAGAGAGACAGAGAGACAGGAAGACAGAGAGACATAGAGAGAGAGAGAGAAAGATAGAGCGAGAGAGAGATCGAGATAGAGAGAGAGCGAAGAGTAGAGAGAGACCAAGAGACAGAGAGAGAGAGAGGAGACGAGAGAGGACAGAGAACCGAGAGCAGAGAGAGTATAGATAGGGAGTAGAGAGAGAGAGGAGAGAGAGATATGAGTGAGATGATATAGAGAGAGACGGACCACGAGACACGATGAGAGGGGTAGAGGAACAGAGAAGGGAGAGAGATAGGAGAAGGGACAAGAGAAGACGGATATAGACCACCAGAAGGGAGACAGAGAGAGACAGGAGAATGACATAGAGAGACATGATGAGAGACAGAGGATAGAGACAGAGAGATACATAGAGAGACAGATTAGAGACAGAGAGAGTACATAGACGAGACAGAGGAGAAGTACCAGAGAGAGACAGAAAAAGAGACAGAGAGAGTGGGTTGTGTAAGGAGAGAGACCGAGAAGACAGAGAAGAGACAGAGAGATGTACAGAGATAGACAGAGAGAGACAGAGGTAGGAGAGACATTAGGAGAGAACAGAGATAGAAGAGAGAGACGACAGAGAGAACAGATGGACTTAGACAGAGATAGACATAGATTCAGACAGAGAGTATGATAGGGATAGAGAGAGAGAGATAGAGTAGAGAAGATAGAGAGATAGCGAGAGAGGACATAACATAGAGACATACAGAGATAGAGATACCTAGAGAGTATGACATTAGACAGATTACATATGATAGTATGACATGATGGGGATATACATATATATGTATGAAGACATATAGAGGTAGATACATAATAGATGGATATGACATAGAGAGGTATATG